TATACACTACTATACACTACACTAGTATACACTACAACACACTACACTACAACACACTACACTGGTATACACTACATTACGATACACTAGACCACTATACACTACAGTACAACACACTACACTGCTATACACTACACTATACACTACTATACACTATATATACTACACTATTATACACTAGACTATACACTACACTACTATACACTATACACAACACTACTATACACTACACTATACACTACTATACACTACACTGGTATACACTACACTACTATACACTACACTATACACTACACTGGTATACACTACAGTACAACACTACACTGGTATACACTACACTACTATACACTACACTATACACACTACACTAGTATACACTACACTATACACTACACTACAACACACTACACTATACACTACACTACTATACACTACAACACACTACACTACTATACACTACACTATACACTACACTATTATACACTACACTACAACACACTACACTGGTATACACTACATTACTATACACTACACTATACACTACAACACACTACACTATACACTACACTACTATACACTACACTATTATACACTACACTACAACACACTAAACTGGTATACACTACATTACTATACACTACACTATACACTACACTATACACTACAACTACACTATACACTACACTGGTATACACTACACTACAACACTACACTGGTATACACTACACTATACACACTACACTAGTATACACTACACTACAACACACTACACTATACACTACACTACAACACACTACACTAGTATACACTACACTACTATACACTACACTATTATACACTACACTACAACACACTACACTGGTATACACTAGATTACTATACACTACACTATACACTACAACACACTACACTGGTATACATTACATTACGATACACTAGACTACTATACACTACAACACACTACACTGCTATACACTACACTATACACTACACTACTATACACTACACTACTATACACTACACTGGTATACACTACACTACTATACACTAAACTATACACTACACTAGTATACACTACACTATACACTACACTAGTATACACTACTATACACTACACTAGTATACACTACAGTACAACACACTACACTACAACACACTACACTAATATACACTACACTACTCTACACTACAACACACTACACTAATATACACTACACTACTATACACTACACTACAACACACTACACTACTATACACTACACTAATATACACTACAACACACTACACCACACTACACTACAATACACTACACTACTATACACTACACTATACACTACACATTGGGCTCTATGGAGGCCCGTCGTTAAGCGATTCGTCGTTAACAGGGGCGGTCGTTAAGAGGGGTTCTGCTGTACTCCGTATCTGTGGATAATTTATCTCGTTTTGTTTGGACGTGGAAAAATACCAACCGGCGCTGCTCGTTAATCTCTCAGAGGGAAACTGTCAATAGCGATTTATTTTATTATAAAAAAAGCAAAATATCGAGGAAATATATAAATGGCACCAGCAGAACTCAGAAAGCAAGCAATAAAAAAATGTCTCGGTAAGAAAAACATGAATTATTAGAACGTGCGCACATGCCACAATATATCACCCCTCGCCAAAATACCGTAATTATTACAAAATCCAAGCAGACATGCAGCATTCAAATTGTCATAAAAATAGATATTTAAATAGATATTACACCAGTTGCGACGTTGCTAATTTTAAGCGATCGACATCAAATCCAGGAATCAATTAAGGAAATTAACATATATTCTTGGTTCTTTCGGTAAAGTCACGTAGAAGGGAAACAATAAAATAATAAAAATATAAAACAATGAAACATTATCACACGGAAATAATTCTCACGTTCATCGTTCTCTCTTTCTGGAAGGCGCCGATTGGAAAGCGGTCATCTCATGGAGCAAGTCGAAGGCAATCGGTGCCTGGGCAAAAAAAAAAAACATCCGCTATGTGCGGATAAATAACCAAGAATGGAGAAAACATTCTAACCAAAGGGTCAACGTTACCCCACCTCCATAATACAGGGTTTTTTTGGGGGGTTGGATCCCGTAAATATATAAATGTTGTGTCGTTAAACCCGCCACACCCGACACAGCCAACTAGTAAGGGTTGTCACGTAAACAGAACGTGGCCAATTCGTCACTAGTACAGCACCACCGGTGTGTTGGAGAGCCAAGCCACAACATTTATAATCTGAGCACGACGTTTCGCCAGTAGTTACAACCAGCTTCATCAGGCGACGGCCAGATTTACCCAACCCGCCGTACGGTGTCATTAAATCTTGATTTGAAGCTTTGGTGACTGCAGGAATCCACACTCTTTGTTATGTTCGGTAAAGTCACGTAGGTAGAAAAAATAATAGATCGCGACGTTTTCATCGCCACACAAGCAATCGTCCTCAGGTGGGATAGAGATGGAAACGTGATCCATTGATATTTTCTACCTACGTGACTTTACCGAAAGAACCAAAAAGAGTATGGTGGCATGCAACTTAAATCAATTATGACTTCCTCCTCATTCTGGATGAAGCCCCCCCACCCCCCCTCGCCATGTCCGCCATTGGGTTTCATCGACCATACTTCACCACGCTGGTCATCGGTGGTTCGGTGAATAGGAAGTGGGGGCAGGGCACGTCCGGCTCCGATCATCCCTTCACACTGAAGTTTGCCACGGCTGGGAATGGAACGGAGGTGGGACGCGTTCGCAGCCACCGCGCCGCCGCTCCACACCCTCGTGTCTCACGACGGCAGCGGTTCTCAAAAGTGTGGTCCGCTGGGGCTGGGATGCAAACGCAGGTCGATCCGGAAACAATGTTTACGCCCTTTGTTTTTGGACGTGAATTAATATTTTACTCGTATTTAATTCAAAGACAATTTAGTTGGGCGAAATACCCTGATTAAACTACACCTAATATCTAAATGCAACCCCTAAAAAAAAACCTTGTAGCTGCGTTTACAAAAAAGTTCCAATAATATGAAAAATTGTATGTATTCCTGGTATTTAGAGATAAGTGAATGTATTGTCACCAAGGCGGAGGGGGGGGCTGCAGCTGGGGTGTGCCCGCGGAAATGTTTGCATCGGCCGAGCGGTCCGATGCAAACGCCGCTCTGGAGAGGCGTGGAAATTGAAACGGACCCACGGGACATTTCAAGAACGCGAAGCCCCAAGCAGCACCGCCAAACGTTTGCACCGACGCATTCATATCCAGGCGGTAATGGGTTAATGCGAGCTTGATTGCATTTCATTTCACACTTGGAAAAGGGAAAAAACCAATCGTGGCGTTGCTCAAAGGAAACGTGACTCATTTGCTACAGGCATGTTCTTGCAGATTAAAAATAAATTGCCAGACCGTACGGTAGAGGTATAGTACACACACGGCCACGATTATCACACGGTACGGTGTGCGTGCGCACATAGCGTGTACACACACGCATACACGCTACTACGCCTGTGTGTCAGATGGACAATTATTTTACAAGGAATGGAACTCGCTTGAGAAGGGGTCCTTCGGACCGGAGATGCAGCGACCAAACTCTCCGTGTGCGGCTGCATTATAACGTCGCAGGATCGTGAGAGGCCGGTGGCGGATTGGAGAGGCTTTCATCCGGCAGTGGATGGACCACGGCTGATGAATTGACACGATGTAAGCCCTGTGCGTAATGAGAAGTATTCAAAGGATACATTTTCACCCTGACAAATAGAAACTAAAATACACTTCAGACTCTTTGGTTCTTTCGGTAAAGTCACGTAGGTAGGTAAGAATAATAGATCACGACGACGTTTCGATCGCAACACAAGCAATTGTCATCAGGTGGGACAACCACAGCAAGAAAAAACTGCTGAAGTAGTATTTTTTTCTTGCTGTGGTTGTCCCACCTGATGACGATTTCTTGTGTTGCGATCGAAACGTCGTGATCTATTTATTGTTTCTACCTACGTGACTTTACCGAAAGAACCAACGAGTATGGATTCCTGCAGTCACGAAAGCCTCAAATCAAGATTGACACTTCAGACTATGCAACTATCAGGCGTTCTGGTCTGTTATCCAGCATACTGTCAATTTGTTTCATCCGAGAACTGCGTAGCCTTGAAAGGATGTCTCATCGATCCCCTCGACTCGTTTGGAGGATGGGTCCTAGCCTGCTATGAATGCGCTGTAGTCCACGAGTCCCAGACCAGATATGTCATCAGAGCCACTTGAGATTGGCATAACTTTTGTGGTTCCAGTAACAGTTAATTACGTGATGATCATTTGAAATGAGTGGTATAACAAATAATTGACTCGCATTAGCCGTATAAATGCACCGGTTCAAGTAAAGTCGTGCTACCTCGGCACCACGGTGGCTAGGAGATGTTCACTGGCTCGCCTGGTACGGAGGAGGTTGTGGGTTCGTTCCCGACCCTGACGCCTGCTGCTGTATATTTGGAATGTTCTCTCCGTGGTGGCGTGGATTTTTCTCCGGGTCCTATGGGTTTTCCCTCTGCATTTAGAATCAACGTGCGTTTAGAGTATTAGGCTGCTTACTCATTGGTTCTTTTGGTAAAGTGACGTAGGTAGAAAAAAATATATATCACATTTCCACCGCAACACAAGCGGTCGTCCTCAGGCGGAAAAAACACATCTATAACCTTGCTGTAACAGCTCTCTCGCTGGTTCAGCAGTTCCACTGCTGGATTATAATTTTTTCCGCCTGAGGACGACCGCTTGTGTTGCGGTCGAAACGTCGCGATACGTTATTTTTTATTTTATTTTTTATACCTTACGTGACTTTACCGAAAGAAGCAAAGAGTATGGATTCCTGCAGTCACGAAAGCTTCAAATCAAGATATTAGGCTGCTCTAAAAAAATGTTTTACACGATAAGCCACTTCGTTGAGCCATCATTTGTGACAGCCAGGGCGCATCTGCAAAAGAGCTGTACAGCTCAGTGGGCCTTACCTGGTAAAATAAAAACAGCACCAATTACTGCTCGGGCCCCATGGACTACGGAGGAATGGTTGGCATTGCCCCAGCTGTCGCTGTGGCTCGTTGATGTCACTTGGGTCCCATGCTGTGTGCCTTGGGAGTTGCTTCTCTCTCCTCTCTCCCGGGGGTTGTTCAAACTTGATCAACGGCAAACCCATTTCTACCCTTAGTCATTTCGTGAAGCATCTTGCGAACCTCAATTGCATTTGAACGCTATGCAAAGTGTGTACATACGTATGTATGTCGAATTTCTTTTGCACCAAATGCTGCCAGAAACATTTAACGCAAAAGGCACATTAGGCCGATGGATGGATTTAAATGCTGTGATTTGTGCTCGGTGAGACATCTTTTTCGTTTAAAAAAAAATATACCCGAGAAAAAATTCTCACGGATGTCGCCGTAGCGTGACGAAGGTTGCCCGTTTGAATTCCCGGTGAGGCAATCAAAACATGTGGGAGGGATGGAGAAGGGTTAAAGAGGCTTTCATCCAGCTGTGGATAGATCAAGACACCTGATAATACAGATGGTTATAGAGGAATGTTGGTTTCACAGATATATAATAAACGGACAATCATTCATAATATAGATTCTGTACATTTGGTGTGAGCACATGGCGTGCAATTACGTTAAGGTGTACGCAATTGTGCAATCAAACAATTATGAAGTTCTTTGGAAGCAACTCGCCCCCGCTTGTCCTTCTACATTTTTTCTTTCTCTCTCTCTATTCGAGGCGAGTAAAACAAAAAAAATTATTCGCGTACAAAACCGCTGTGGCACATTTGTAAAGCCAAGGGAACACGGAGCCACTTTGTGACTGAACAAAAACAACACCATCCCAGGAGATGGGTTTCGGGCCATTGCGGCAAGCGAGGAAAAACAGCGCGCGGGAGACAACCGCTATTCCAACCGATCCAAAATAAAACGCAATTTACACGTTTACATTACACACGGTGTCATCCGAAGTGTAACAAGAGTTATAACGTACATCTCAAATACGTTTTCTTTAGGATACTGCCGCCCTGTTGTGGTCCAGCGCACTAGACGTGCAGTCCAGAGGTCACCGGTTGCACCGCAGTCGACCGGGGGATCGCGCGAGGTGACGTGAAGTGTAGGAGCCCTCATCCTCTCCCCAAGGCGTTTGGCCGGTGTGGAAGAGTAGGCCAAATGCCCTCTGGAGAGGCTCACTAGAAACCCATTCTGTTGGGAGGCCTTCCCGGTAGCGGTACATTCACCTTTCACGCGTGAAATGTTTTATTCAAACAAATTGGCTTGACAGCACAAAGAAGTTTATGCTGGTTTAATTATTTATGGGCTGCTTGCTCACTTGCGTTACTATTTGGTGCCGTGCTTTATAAGTTTGTATGAAAGGGGTGGCGTGCACAATGGCGAGCTCCTATAGCCAATGGATTTTTTTTGATAATTTTTTTTTTATCTTAATCTAATCTACTATGGCAGATGAGGTAATTAAATTTGGAAACAGGTTTTGGGGGGGGGGGGGGTAAAAAAACGCACGTGCGGCCGCGGCAGCATCGTCGATTATAAACCCCAAAAAAATAAAACTTGCGCGATCGAAGCGACCCGAAAATTGGTCCCATTTCGAAAAAGTTTTAAGCCTTAAGACAAACAGATCTATGACATGACCCCCCCCCCCTCCCCCCACTTCACTCGTTCATTCAATGCCTCTCTCAGTCTTGGCAGGAAAATAATATCAAAAAACGGCCAATTTCACACAATCATAAAGGGGTTTCAATTGAGAATGATTGCGAAACAGAATCCAACTAAAAAGACTCAACGACCGGTAAAGAAGGCAGACTCGGTCGACGATGTCAGCCGAACGAGGGAGGCCTTTTTCTTGCGACCGAAAAAGAAAGGACCGGATATCTCACGGTCCTTCGATACGGCGGGATTTCTCCGATTCTATCTTGGATTTCTAAAGAGGGGATACATGCCAAACACTATATTCTTGGTTCTTTCGGTAAAGTCACGTAGAAGGGAAATCATATTTTATTATTTCCCTTCTACGTGAAATAACATTTAATTATTTCCCTTCTACGTGACTTTACTGAAAGAACCAAGAATATGAATCCCTGCAGTCACGAAAGCTTTAAATCGAAATGCCAAACACTGTTCAGCCACCTACAGCATTTGATACAAGCGGACTTGACAACTAAAAAATAAATGACAAAAATCAATATCAACAAATTAGAGCTTTGTCGTGTGTATATATTACATTTAATAGGCTTTGGTCCTGATTGTTTTTATAAAAAATGAATACGTGCTTGTTAAAATACAATTATAATTCACGAGCAAAAACGGCAGTGTAGAGACAACACAAATCCTCATCGATTGCCAATTTTCCAAATCTCTACCCCTGGGGATGCAAGGAATAATATTGGTTGTTTCTTTTGTAATTCGTTTTTTGACGAACCAAACGGGGGGGGGAGGGGGGGGGAGGGGGGGTTGGGGAGCTGTCCCATTTCGTCTCGGCAAAAAAAATCGGCACAATTTTAACGACGGCGGAGCTCTCGTCAATTTGGCCGGAATCTGACACGCACCACCTCCTGAAGATTCCACCCGGGGGAGGGGGGCGGGAGATTTCGCGCCCCGCCGGCGCTAAGCACTCGGCACCGCGACCCCCGGTGAACGTTTTGTTTTATTTTTTTCCCCTCGCTTGCACCTTCCTTCGCGCGCACACGCTCTCGTTCCGACCGTTGCAACAACAACAAAAAAACCGCCAGCCGCGAGTGCAAAACGCCAAACGGAGAGGTCCAGTCGCCCTCCCCGCTTGCTCCCGGTGCAGAAACGCCGTCGCGCCGTGAGCCGCGGTCGCTACATCACCACGCAGCAGCTGTTTGACTTTCCCGCAAACGTGCTATTTGTCCGCTTCACTTGTGGCTTCTTGGCACTGTTGCTCCCGTCGTAAGAGACGGCCGACGCTTCCCTCGACTGCCCGTTGACGGTGCGCTGCCTCGGCCCGTCACGCTCGCGCTCCCTCTCCTTGCCGGTGGGCCTCTTCTTCCTTCCTTCCGTCTCCTCGTCCTCCTCGTCGGTGGGAATGTCCACGGCGAGCTGGTGCTTGAGACGGTCCTTGACGCGCTCGCGCTTCAGTTCGCTCAGCGTCTGGCTGTCCCTGTTCGTGTCCCTGCCGGCGTCCCGCCCGGCGTCTCGGCCTGCGTCCCTCTCACGCGACGGCTCCCTGGGCCCCCTCGACCCCGCGCCGCCCCTCTGGCCCCTGGCGCCCGCCTCGCCGGTGCCCACGGACGCGGGAGGAGCGCGCGCGTCCGCCGGTGCCGTCACCGCGATCGCCGCGGCGGTGGCCGCCCTCTCCAATTTACCGCGCGGCTCTCTCTTCGGCTCCTGCGATGAGGTGCGCGCCCGAGTTACCTCCTTGAACAGCGCGGCTTTCGAGCTCAAGGGTTTGGCTGCGGCGGCGGCGGCGGCGGCGGCGGCGGGGTCGGCGGAGACGTCGCGGTGTCTCTCTCCGTCCGCGGTGGCAGTGGCGTCCCTTTCGGACGGAGTCACGCTGGAGACGGAGTCGCGCTTTCGAGGCTTGTCCTGCGCGGCGGACGATGGGCGCTTGCCGTTCGTCTCGGGCCGCGCGGGAGACTCCGCCGTTGCTCGGGAGTCTCTCTTGTTCGGAGAGTCCCTCGTGACATTCTGCGAACGAGCGAGCGGGCGAAAGAGACAGGGTTGAGCTTCAAAGTTTCTGGCAGCAAGGGGCGTGGAAGAAGCATGTCACCACATTTGGAACCCTTTCACAGATTTTTCCTCCAGTGGGAAATTATTTTTAAGATCATTCATTTAGGCATCTGCCCACTCCTCCCCTTCACCCCCCCCTCCCTTTTCTTTTTACTTCTCCCCCCCACCTTATCCTTCCCCTAGAAGGTTGTCCGTGTTTAGGAAGTAGACACCCGGGAGGTAGACCTTATTGAAACACAGAGACAGATTCAACATTTTAAAACGTTGGTGATAACCATTGTACTTATATATTTTTTCACGAGTTCATTCATTCGTACATATTTTATTGCTTCCCTTCAACGTGACTTTACCGAAAGAGCTAAGAATACCCTCAAGGTCGTTAAGATCTGCAGACTCCGGCCCTTCTGTGCGTACCTCGATCCCGGCTGCGTTCCTGGGGTGAGTGGCCATTCACTCTGGCTGTGCCACGATGGTGGAATTCCCTACCGGTGGGAATTTGTTTACCCGACAATGTGGACACTTTTAAGTCTCGTTTTAAAACCACGTATTCCATGTAGCTTCTCTGTCGCTCTTGGCCTTTCCTTATTCTTACAAGGCGCCTTTAGAAATTAGTGGAAGGCGGCTTACAAATCAATGTACATTATTATTATTACTTCTCATTGTGACAATACTACTGGTGTCAACTCCCATATATTACCCTCTGCTTGTACCCAAATCGTTTATATTCTTGGTCCTTTCGGTAAAGTCACGTAGAAGGGAAACAATAAAATAATAACAATATAAAACAATAATATTATTACAATATTATTTTATTGTTTCCCTTCTACGTGACTTTACCGAAAGAACCAAGAATATGAATCCCTGCAGCCACGAAAGCTTTAAATCAACATTTCCCAAATCGTTTGTTCAATAAAATACTTTGCAAAAAGGTTTCTGGTAGCAGCGGCAGGGGGGCGGGTATGTTGCTCCAATTGAATAACATTCAGGCGATTTTCTGCAAGAGGATGTTTGGCGAATTGGTTACCTGGAGGGAGCGCATGCAGAACAGGGGGAGAACATGGCACGACCTCCACACGGAAGGTTGTCCCAGTCGGGAATCGAACCCAGGCCCTTTCTGACTGTGAGACACGATTGCCACCACTGCGCCACCCTGCCGCCCACTGTTTCTACAGCTATCAAATCATCACACTCAAATGCAATAAACATCGCAGGGCAATGCGTTGCGATGCGCTGTGCACTATTGTACTGAACTTGATGCATGTACGTTGAACTTCTTTCACAGCGTATGTAGCCAACTGCGGATTAATTACATTGTTTTAATTCATCATATGAAGTGTTAATTTTCATTGCAGTGCTTTATACCGCAATGAAATGCAGTCTGTAACAACACTGCAGTGCATCGCGCTGCAGTGCCTTGCAGTGCATTCCAGTGCAGTGCGTTCCAATGCAGTGCGTTGCGATGCAGTGCGTTCCAATGGAGTGCGTTGCGATGCAGTGTGTCGTAACGCAGTGCGTCGCGACGTTGGCTGCCGCGCTGCCACTCACGGGGTCGCGGTTCTCCTGGTCGCCCTCCTCCGTCATGTCCTGCCGCTCCTGCCACAGCTTGGCCTCGTCCTGGTGCTCCTTGCGGTAGAGGCTCGTCCGCTCGCCCAGACTCGCCTTCCTCTCCAGCTTCCTGTCTCGCGCGCACACGCAGAGAGAGAGAGACGGAGAGAGATGGAGTGGGGGAGGGGGGGGGGGTAGATTACACCGATCTGTACCTCCTTTTCCACTGGCAAATCTGAGGCGAGCGAGCGGCAGGCCCCTCGCTTTGCGAGTCCTCATTTTCCACCGACAGCGTTTTGTGCCCAGCCGGAAACCAAAGGGCGGTTAGCCGTCCCCCGTCAGAGGCCATCCGGCTCTGGCCCAGGGCCGTGCAGGGCCAGCGGGCGAGGGGGGGGTGGGGTGGCTAAAGGACGAGTTCCTTTACGGACAGCGTCAGGCGGTAAACAACTCCGTGAGGACGCCGCTTGGTGTGGCCGTGTGGCCTTGTCGTTGGGTGCTGCGGCCGGAGTGGTGTTGTGGCCTAGGGGTGTGACCGGGCAGTGAGGTTAGGATGCTGTGGCCGTAGCGGTGGTGTGGCCAGGCTGGCATGACCGAGCGGTGTGGCCGGCGCGCGGCGGCGTGGGAGCAACCGTACCCTCGGCTGCTGACACTGGAGGTGCGTCGCTGCAGGGAGGCGCGCGGCTTTCCCTGCGTGCGGAGAATGTTCTCTCGGCGCGTCTTCATCTCCAGCAGCTGCTTCCTCATCTCGTCGTTCTCGCACAGATCTGGGTCCAATCGCGAGTCGACGGGGAAACGTTCGCGAAGCGCGATTTTTAAACGAACGGGTGCGAGCGCCGGTTAGGCGGCGAGTCACGGGAAAGAAGAAAAGGGGAAAACTCCGAACGAGTGACCAGGAAAGAAAGATTAAAAAAAAACAAACGCAAAGCCGCCGTCGGCGTAGTTGACATCTCCTAGCCACCGCAGTGGCGCATCAATGCGACGAGAAAACGCGTCGCACGCTCGCGCGCACGCACCAGAGGGGCACACCCTGCGACACATCTCGATAGAGCCGTGGTGTTCAGGCTGCACCTCTGCGTGTTCAGGCTACACCTCTGCGTGTTCAGGCTACACCTCTGCGGTGTTCAGGCTACACCTCTGCGTGCTCAGGCTACACCTCTGCGTGCTCAGGCTATACCTCTGCATGTTCAGGCTACACCTCTGCGTGTTCAGGCTACACCTCTGCGTGTTCAGGCTACACCTCTGCGTGTTCAGGCTACACCTCTGCGTGTTCAGGCTACACCTCTGTGGTGTTCAGGTTACACCTCTGCGTGTTCAGGCTACACCTCTGCGGTGTTCAGGCTACACCTCTGCGTGCTCAGGCTACACCTCTGCGTGCTCAGGCTACACCTCTGCGTGCTCAGGCTACACCTCTGCGTGTTCAGGCTACACCTCTGCGGTGTTCAGGCTACACCTCTGCGTGCTCAGGCTACACCTCTGCGTGCTCAGGCTACACCTCTGCGTGTTCAGGCTACACCTCTGCGGTGTTCAGGCTACACCTCTGCGTGCTCAGGCTACACCTCTGCGGTGTTCAGGTTACACCTCTGCGTGTTCAGGTTACACCTCTGCGTGCTCAGGCTACACCTCTGCGTGTTCACGCTACACCTCTGCGGTGTTCAGGGAGCAGTCCTATCTGAGCCCGAACAATGACCAGCGGCTCAGACAAAGTCACAGGCGATGCGCTCGGTTGATGCATCGCCATCTGTTATTGGAATTACAAAAATGTGAGACGTCAAAAACAGATTTGACCTTCTACACGGCTGACTCACGGCAGTTCTTTGCACAACTTCAGTCGCACCGACGCATTAATCGCCAACACGTCTCGCCCACTCACCCCCTCTCGCCCCTCCTGAGTGGCAAGCAAGCAAGCAAGCGGTCACAAACTCCGTCGAGTTTGTGACGGAGTTTGTGACCGGGGCACGGAATTTACTCGCGAGACTTTTTTTGTCAATCCACTGCTGGATGGAACCCTCCACACTGCCCCCCCCCCCCCAAACTCTTGGCGAGTACGGTGGTCGTTTCGACTGTCGCCAATCGGTGACGCGGCCTCGAGCCGTGAGCGGTGCTCGTCGTCGCACGGGCTCGCGGTTCAAACTCCAGCGGCCGCCCCCGTTAATACCGCGGTGGTGGTGGTGTATACTAACCGTAATGATAACGCTACTACGAGCCGCCCCGCTTCGCTGTGGGCATTAAAAAGATCAACCGATGTCATTTGCGACGAGTAGGGCGGCCGCCGTGTGGCCTGCAAGCGGGGGCCCAACAAAATGTTTGCCCAAATTTTGAAAACGCCGCCGCGAAAATTACTCGGTTGGGGATTCCGCCGGGCACAGCAACAATCGTCGGCCCCGAATGGTGGACTAACGCCCCAGGTCACGCTTGCTAACACGAGACTGAGTCCTGGTCTCCGGAGTTCTCAACCTGGTTAAAACAAAAACAAACATAGAACAAGTGGGCGCGTCACGGCAACACTCACCCAGGGCCGTCTCTTCGAGGTTGGTTTTCCCTTTCAGGTTGGCGCCGTGACAAACCAAGACCTCAGCAACTTGCATCTGTATAAAGGCAAAGACAAAGATTCCTCCGTACAGGCTGAACAGACTGTTGGGACAAGTTGCTGTGAGCGAGCGGCACCTGTGAAGCCCGGCACGGCACACGAGTTGGTTGGGTGGCCAACACCACGCTCGGCTGCCTTTATCGCCCTAGTGGCGACGTTTACACACCGCACCGGGTACTCATTTGAGACTGAGTCGACCTCGGGGAGGTCCAGGACCGGTTTAGATATAATCGTCACTGGTGTCGGCCGTCAGCGGGAATCGAACTCGGGTCGTCGGGTTCGTAGCGCAGCGCGCTGACCGCTACACTACCGCTCCCCACTGCATCTGTGCAAACAGACACCCACACATACATGCCCAAACATGCACGAGTGAAGACAGTGCAAGTTAGCATTCACAAAGCCTCCACTGCCATCAAAGACAACGATTCCCCGTGTCGCCGTAACAGGCTCTTGGGACGGTCCTTGACCGCAGGAAGTGGCGGCGCAGCGGTTAGTGTCCAGTTTTTTTACGTGCACAAAAAACAAAGATCCATCGTGGGATTTTGGGTCAAGTGCTGCGCATGAGCACGTAGACAAAGGCCCCCCGTATAACCTTAACACACTTGCTGGGGGCAAGTGCTGTTAGCGAGCAGCGCCTATGAGAGCCGGAATTGGCACACGAGGCGGTGGGTGTCGAGCACCACGCCCAGCTGCCTTTTGTCTCCATCGTGGCGAATGTTCACACACCGCACCAGGTGATCATTTGAGGCCGAGTCGGCCTAGCCGAGGCCCCCGAACCGATTCAGATAACTGTCACTGGTGTTGGCCGTGAGCGGGAATCGAACTCGGGTCGCCGTGGTTTCGGAGCGCAGCGTTAGCGCTAACCGCTGCGCCACCAACACTCCAAACACGCGCGCGCACACGCACACAGAGACAAACACGCGCACACCGACAAAACAAAGGAAGATGCCACACACCGGGCATAATATATGAGGCAGGCGGTTGCGTAACACGCGGACGTGTGTAGGACATGTGTGGGATGTACGCACGCTCGCGCGGTGAGCTCCCATCGCTGGCTCCGAAGTAAAATTACCGCGCTCGTTCCCTTTCCCCCGGTATTGCCGCATAATCTCCCTTCTGCAGCGGCGAGGAAAAAAAAAACTTCAGAGAGGGTCCCCTAATCCCCTTCCCCCAAGCGTGCCCCCCCCCCCCCGCCTCCAGAGTGCAAGGGGGTCCCCTTCCTGCCCCATGCCGGTGCGCGTGGCAGTCGTGCGCCCCTGAGCAGTGCGTACCGCCGTGCACGAAGGTAAAGGTGCAGGCCCTGCAATTACAAATTTTTTGCCCGCGCCGCTTCTGGCCGATGCTCCTTCACAAGCGGGGGGGGGGAGCCGCTCTGGGTTGTTGTTTCACGCTCGTGTAGAAGAGGTGGAGACACCCGCGGCACTTTGCCGCCCCGCCACGGGCGCGACCTGGCGATCGACTAAGCGGAGGGAATGATTGGAAGATGGATCTGAGCCGGTGACCTGCGGGAATGCGGTGCGCGCGTGCCGACCCGTCACACCGCCGCGGCGGCATCTTTATTCCCGCATGAGAAGTGAGAAAGCACAATTTTGCGGATGCTTCTCCAGCAAGAGATTAAACGAAAACCACGACGTTTCGATCACAACACAAGCCATCGTCATCATCAGGAAAAAAAAAATGTGTTGCGATCGAAACGCCGTGTTTTATTTTTCTCCATTCATTTGAACCTATCTACTTGACTTTGCCGAAAGACCCAAAGAGTATGAATTGCTGCAGTCACGAAAGCTTTCGGTCACGATTCAAGGCACCTTTTTTTTCTTTGAGCGCTGTGCGAAACTCAAACGGCCGGTCATCCCGTACTCAAGGACGTGCTCCGAGCACCCCGAGGGAGAGCGGGAAGAGACTGACGGCGGCAAGCACACGGACGGGGGAGAAGCGGATAAACAACGCGGCGAGACGGGAGGATAGGCCGAGAGAGAGCGGGGGGGGGAGTAGCGCTCGCCCACCGGCGCTCCGTGAAATTGGACGTCTGTAACTGGCAAGCCGAGGTCGACACCGATCCCGACAATCCAAACGTGCGCACGCGTTACGCAACTGTCTTGTGCGTTGTGTGTGACGTCTGGCGCCGTCCATTAGCTCGTGTGGTCGTGTGTGTGCGTGTGTGCGACTCAAGTAGTTGTGTGTGTGTGCAGCTCGTGTGGTTGTGTGTGTGTGTGCGACTCGTGTGGTTGTGTGTGTGTGTGACTCTTGTGGTTGTGTGTGACTCGTGTGGTTGTGTGTGTGTGTGCGACTCGTGTGGTTGTGTGTGTGTGTGACTCGTGTGGTTGTGTGTGTGTGTGCGGCTCGTGTGGTTGTGTGTGTGTGACTCGTGTAGTTGTGTGTGTGCGGCTCGTGTGGTTGTGTGTGGCTCGTGTGGTTGTGTGTGTGCGGCTCGTGTGGTTGTGTGTGTGTGTGACTCTTGTGGTTGTGTGTGACTCGTGTGGTTGTGTGTGTGTGTGCGACTCGTGTGGTTGTGTGTGTGTGTGACTCGTGTGGTTGTGTGTGTGTGTGCGGCTCGTGTGGTTGTGTGTGTGTGTGACTCGTGTAGTTGTGTGTGTGCGGCTCGTGTGGTTGTGTGTGGCTCGTGTGGTTGTGTGTGTGTGTGCGACTCGTGTGGTTGTGTGTGTGTGCGACTCGTGTGGTTGTGTGTGTGTGGCTTGTGTGGTTGTGTGTGTTAGTGCGACTCGTGTGGTTGTGTGTGTGTGTGTGTGCGACTCGTGTGGTTGTGTGTGTGTGCGACTCGTGTGGTTGTGTGTGTGTGTGTGCGACTCGTGTGCTTGTGTGTGTGTGCGGCTCGTGTGGTTGTGTGTGTGTGGCTCGTGTGGTTGTGTGTGTGTGGCTCGTGTGGTTGTGTGTGTGTGTGCGACTCGTGTGGTTGTGTGTGTGTGCGACTCGTGTGGTTGTGTGTGTGTGTGTGCGACTCGTGTGCTTGTGTGTGTGTGCGGCTCGTGTGGTTGTGTGTGTGCGACTCGTGTGGTTGTGTGTGTGTGCGGCTCGTGTGGTTGTGTGTGTGTGTGCGACTCGTGTGGTTGTGTGTGTGACTCGTGTGGTTGTGTGTGTGTGTGGCTCGTGTGGTTGTGTGTGTGTGTGTGGCTCGTGTGGTTGTGTGTGTGACTCGTGTGGTTGTGTGTGTGTGTGCGGCTCGTGTGGTTGTGTGTGTGTGCGGCTCGTGTGGTTGTGTGTGTGACTCGTGTGGTTATGTGTGTGTGTGGCTCGTGTGGTTGTGTGTGTGTGTGGCTCGTGTGGTTGTGTGTGTGTGTGTGACTCGTGTGGTTGTGTGTGTGTGTGCGGCTCGTGTGGTTGTGTGTGTGTGTGCGGCTCGTGTGGTTGTGTGTGTGTGTGCGACTCGTGTGGTTGTGTGTGTGTGTGTGCGGGTGGTGTGGTTGTGTGTGTGTGTCCATCACTCAGCGTGCGGTGGCTGGTAATGAGATTTTTTTATTCAGGTTTACCCTGCCATCCTAGGCCGTGGGGGGCGGGAAATGACACATCAGCGGCGAGTGACATCAGAACCGGTCCTGTGGCCCCTCCAACCCTCGCTGACCACCAACCCCTCGCTGACCACCGACCCCTCACTGACCACAAACCCCTCGCTGACCACCAACCCCTCACTGACAACCAACCCCTCACTGACCACCAACCCCTCACTGACCACCAACCCCTCGCTGACCGCCGACCCCTCGCTGACCGCTGACCCCTCGCTCACTGATCAGTGATTTTCAAACAACCATCATAACCAACCCACTTTGGAGGGGGGGCCCATCCAACAGGGGATTGACCAAGGGGGTAAATGTCCGTAACACGATTTTTAATTCCGTGCTCCTTTAAGTTTCCAAAAAAAACAAAAGAGGATGCTGGCAGGTGTGGTTGCCACCAGTCCTGTTTGTCCCAGAGTTCTCCTCTCTTTCGTGAGGTAGCAGCTGTCCCGGGAAATCAGAGAGCCTCCCCCGGGCATCACAAGTCGCGTCTCTCGTCAGCCGAGGAACAATAACCCACCGCTCGAGAACCAACGCGTTCACACGGAGACTCTCTCCCCTCTTCTGCTACTGCGAAATATCCTCCTCGCCACGACGTCATCCCCGTTCATCGTCCCTCGGCGGTGGCAACCACCCCCCCCCGCCCGCCCCCCCCCTCTGGAGGCGTGGGTGCACATTTGCGACGATTAACCGAGGAAGGGCGGGAAGGATCGTGAGTAAAAATCCAGCGTGCAATAGCCAGGAATCCGTGAGCCATCCGCGTAAAGAGTCCGAGAAATTCCCCCTTTGGCCTTTGGTAGAACAAAGGGCGCGGAGATAATCCGCAGTGCTAAGCTCCATTTTTTTATGTAGCGGAGCGTTGATCAAAGTCTCCGCTGAAACGTATTGGCAGTCGCAGATCAAGGGGCCCAGTAGGACCCCATCCATACCTAACCCCAGTAGGACCCCACCCGTACCCGGCCCCAGTAGGACCCCACCCGTACCCGGCCCCAGTAGGACCCCACCCGTACCCGGCCCCAGTAGGACCCCATCCATACCTAACCCCAGTAGGACCCCACCTGTACCTGGCCCCAGTAGGACCCCACCCGTACCTGGCCCCAGTAGGACCCCACCTGTACCTGACCCCAGTAGGACCCCACCTGTACCTGGCCCCAGTAGGACCCCACGCATACCTGGCCCCAGTAGGACCCCACCCGTACCCGGCCCCAGTAGGACCCCACCTGTACCTGGCCCCAGGAGGACTCCACCTGTACCTGGCCCCAGTAGGACCCCACCTGTACCTGACCCCAGTAGGACCCCACCTGTACCTGGCCCCAGTAGGACCCCACCCGTACCTGGCCCCAGTAGGACCCCACCCGTACCCGGCCCCAGTAGGACCCCACCTGTACCTGGCCCCAGTAGGACCCCACCTGTACCTGGCCCCAGTAGGACCCCACCCGTACCTGGCCCCAGTAGAACCCCACCCATACCTGGCCCCAGTAGGACCCCACCCGTACCTGGCCCCAGTAGGACCCCACCCGTACCTGGCCCCAGTAGGACCCCACCTGTACCTGGCCCCAGTAGGACCCCACCTGTACCTGACCCCAGTAGGACCCCACCCATACCTGGCCCCAGTAGGACCCCACCCGTACCTGACCCCAGTAGGACCCCACCTGTACCTGGCCCCAGTAGGACCCCACCTGTACCTGACCCCAGTAGGACCCCACCCATACCTGGCCCCAGTAGGACCCCACCCGTACCTGACCCCAGTAGACCCCACCTGTACCTGGCCCCAGTAGAACCCCACCCATACCTGGGCCCAGTAAGACCCCACCCGTACCTGGCCCCAGTAGGACCCCACCCGTACCCGGCCCCAGTAGGACCCCACCCGTGCCTGGCCCCAGTAGGACCCCACCTGTACCTGGACCCAGTAGGACCCCATCCATACCTAACCCCAGTAGGACCCCACCCGTACCTGACCCCAGTAGGACCCCACCCGTACCTGACCCTAGTAGGACCCCACCCGTACCCGGCCCCAGTAGGACCCCATCCATACCTGGCCCCAGTAGGACCCCACCCATACCTGGCCCCAGTAGGACTCCACCTGTACCTGGCCCCAGTAGGACCCCACCTGTACCTGGCCCCAGTAGGACCCCACCCGTACCTGGCCCCAGTAGGACCCCACCTGTACCTGGACCCAGTAGGACCCCATCCATACCTAACCCCAGTAGGACCCGACCCATACCTGGCCCCAGTAGGACCCCACCCGTACCTGACCCCAGTAGGACCCCACCCGTACCTGACCCCAGTAGGACCCCACGCATACCTGGCCCCAGTAGGAACCCCATCCATACCTGGGCCCAGTAGGACCCCACCCGTACCTGGCCCCAGTAGAACCCCACCCGTACCTGACCCCAGTAGGACCCCACCCGTACCCGGCCCCAGTAGGACCCCACCCGTACCTGGCCCCAGTAGGACCCCACCCGTACCTGGCCCCAGTAGGACCCCACCCGTACCTGGCCCCAGTAGGACCCCATCTGTACCTGACCCCAGTAGGACCCCACCCATACCTGGCCCCAGTAGGACCCCACCCGTACCTGACCCCAGTAGGACCCCACCTGTACCTGGCCCCAGTAGGACCCCACCCATACCTGGGCCCAGTAAGACCCCACCCGTACCTGGCCCCAGTAGGACCCCACCCGTACCTGGCCCCAGTAGGACCCCACCCGTACCTGGCCCCAGTAGGACCCCACCCGTACCTGACCCCAGTAGGACCCCACGCATACCTGGCCCCAGTAGGAACCCCATCCATACCTGGGCCCAGTAGGACCCCACCCGTACCTGGCCCCAGTAGAACCCCACCCGTACCTGACCCCAGTAGGACCCCACCCGTACCCGGCCCCAGTAGGACCCCACCCGTACCTGGCCCCAGTAGGACCCCACCCGTACCTGGCCCCAGTAGGACCCCACCCGTACCTGGCCCCAGTAGGACCCCATCTGTACCTGACCCCAGTAGGACCCCACCCATACCTGGCCCCAGTAGGACCCCACCCGTACCTGACCCCAGTAGGACCCCACCTGTACCTGGCCCCAGTAGGACCCCACCCATACCTGGGCCCAGTAAGACCCCACCCGTACCTGGCCCCAGTAGGACCCCACCCGTACCTGTCCCCAGTAGGACCCCACCCGTACCTGACCCCAGTAGGACCCCACCCGTACCTGGCCCCAGTAGGACCCCACCCGTACCCGGCCCCAGTAGGACCCCACCCGTACCTGGCCCCAGTAGGACCCCACCCATACCCGGCCCCAGTAGGACCCCACCCGTACCTGGCCCCAGTAGGACCCCACCCGTACCTGACCCCAGTAGGACCCCACCCGTACCTGACCCCAGTAGGACCCCACCCGTACCCGGCCCCAGTAGGACCCCACCCGTACCTGACCCCAGTAGCACACCACCCGTACCTGTCCCCAGTAGGACCCCACCCGTACCTGACCCCAGTAGCACACCACCCGTACCTGTCCCCAGTAGGACCCCACCCGTACCTGACCCCAGTAGCACACCACCCGTACCCGGCCCCAGTAGGACCCCACCCGTACCTGTCCCCAGTAGGACCCCACCCGTACCTGACCCCAGTAGGACCCCACCCGTACCTGACCCCAGTAGCACACCACCCGTACCTGTCCCCAGTAGGACCCCACCCGTACCCGGCCCCAGTAGGACCCCACCCGTACCTGTCCCCAGTAGGCGGCGGCGTGCAGTGGCTCCCAGCCATCCTCGTCGCGAGCGTCCGGGCTCATTCCCTGCTCCAGCAGCAGCTCGGCCACTCGCGAGCAGCCGTGAGCCGCCGCCACGTGCAGCTGTCGGGGGGGGGGGGGGGGGGGGGGGGAGGGGTGGCGGCAGGGGTGGACAGAGCGGCACGGCCCGGGTCAGCCACACCGCTATAGGGGAGGCAGCCAGTTGGTGGCTCGGAGGCTGGGGACGCCGCGACGGCGAGATGTTACGTACGCACGTTGAACTTCTTTCACACCATCGTACGTGGCCGACCGTGCTAATTAATCGGAGGTGCCGGGATAAGGACAACTAACACAAAAAGCAGTTCTCAAGAATGTAGTTTTATAATCTAGATTTAAAAGTGCTTGCCGACAGCGTATATCAGCTTGCACAGATTTCCTCAAGGGCCAGGAGTGGTTTAGATATTCCTCACTGATGTTGGCTGTGAGCGGGAGTCGAACTCAGGGAGCCAGGTTCGTAGTGCCGAATGCCGGCGACCACTGACCCACCGCTTCTCAATTTATTAACCAGGCTGTTGGGGCAAGTGCTGTTAGCATAAAGCGCATATGAAGGCCGGCACGGCACACGAGGGGGTGGGTGGCCAGCACCACGCCCAACCGCCTTTGTCTTCCGAGTAGCGATGTTTACACACCGCACCGGGTACTCCTTTGAGGCCGAGTCGACCAAGGTGAGGCCCAGGACCAATTCAGATAATCGTCACTGGTGTTGGCCGTGAGCGGGAATCGAACCTGGGTGGCCAGGTTCGTAGCGCAGCGCGCTAACCGCTACACTACCGCTCCCCACACATACATACACACACAGACACACACTCACAGACACACACTCACAGACACACAGACACACACACACATACTCACACAGATACACACACATACACACACAGACACGGCTTCAACAACAACCCACCTCATCCTCGTCACCCAAAATGTGAAATTGCAAACTAACCGATGGCGAACGTCTCGCACGGGAGGGGACTCCATCCTCCCCCATCCTCCCCCATCCCCCCCCCTCGATGTGCGTCTATCACTCGACGAGGGGGCGCTAATAAGACCGCGCGCCGCTGTCTCACTCCAATTTGGCCGGGATTAACGGGGCGCTGCCGAGGTGTTTGCCCAGACGCCGGCGATCGTTTAAGGAGCTGCAAATTTAATTTTTTTGTTGGCAGGATTCCTTCTCGTGGGCCGAGAGGCGTTTGTTTAATTCCGAGCATCGCGACGCTCGCCGAGCCGCCGGGCCAGCAACGAATGTCCGCGGACTCACTCTGGGGACACGCCGGGGTATCTCGCACACCGCACTCTGTACATCGTGTTATACACCACGTTATACACCACGTTATAAACCACGTTATACACCACGTTACACACCACGTTATACACCACGTTATACACCACGTTATACATCGCGTTCTACACCACGTTACACACCACGTTGTACACCACGTTATAAACCACGTTACACACCACGTTATACACCACGTTATACACCACGTTATACACCACGTTATAAACCACGTTACACACCACGTTATACACCACGTTATACATCGCGTTCTACACCACGTTACACACCACGTTATACACCCCGTTGTACACCACGTTATACACCACGTTATAAACCACGTTACACACCACGTTATACACCACGTTATACACCACGTTATAAACCACGTTACACACCACGTTACACACCCCGTTGTACACCACGTTATACACCACGTTATAAACCACGTTACACACCACGTTATACACCACGTTATACACCACGTTATACACCACGTTATAAACCACGTTATACACCACGTTACACACCACGTTATACATCGCGTTCTACACCACGTTACACACCACGTTATACACCACGTTATAAACCACGTTACACACCACGTTACACACCACGTTATACATCGCGTTCTACACCACGTTATACACCACGTTATACACCACGTTATAAACCACGTTACACACCGCGTTATAAACCACGTTATAAACCACGTTATACACCCCGTTACACACCACGTTATACACCACGTTATACACCCCGTTACACACCACGTTACACACCCCGTTGTACACCACGTTATACACCACGTTACACACCACGTTACACACCACGTTACACACCACGTTATACACCACGTTACACACCACGTTATACACCATGTTATAAACCACGTTACACACCGCGTTGTACACCACGTTGTACACCACGTTATACCGTTACACACCACGTTACACACCACGTTATACACCGCGTTACACACCACGTTACACACCACGTTACACACCACGTTACACACCACGTTATACACCACATTATAAACCACGTTGTACACCGCGCAGCGCTGCTGCGGTGATGCTGTTAACGGCCGGCGTGCTGGGGTCGTAGGTCAGATCCGATTTCCCAGCGTGGCAGTCAAAGCAATGGGTGAGTTTCTTCAGCAGGGGATCTCTAGAGGGGTTCTCTAGAGGGGATCTCTAGAGGGATTCTCTAGAGGGGTTCTCTAGAGGGGTTCTCTAGAGGGGTTCTCTAGAGGGGTTCTCTAGAGGGGCTCTCTAGAGGGGCTCTCTAGAGGGGATCTCTAGAGGGGATCTCTAGAGGGGCTCTCTAGAGGGGATCTCTAGAGGGGATCTCTAGAGGGGATCTCTAGAGAGTCCCTCTAGAGGGGATCTCTAGAGGGGATCTCTAGAGGGGATCTCTAGAGGGATCTCTAGAGGGGATCTCTAGAGGGGTTCTCTAGAGGGGTTCTCTAGAGGGGATCTCCAGAGGGGATCTCCAGAGAGGTTCTCCAGAGGGGATCTCCAGGGGGGCTCTCTAGAGGGGATCTCTAGGGGGGCTGCCCTTCCGCGTAATTCCCGACCTGCATCGCTTCAAGTCTGGCGCCGCCCACGTCTGCCGATCCACGTTGTTGTTGCTAATGAGCACTTGTCACACCCGTACTTATTTAGACACACTATGTTGCTTCTAATTGTGAAAATGCAGTGTTCCAAATGCTGCTCTCGCTCGTCTCATTATATCATAGTTTTTTTCCAAATCCGCTTTCAATAATTGCCCAAAGTGTACGCGTACTCTAGCTGTGATTTCACGCTGTGTCCCTCTGATAATTATTTTCTTTTGTCGGGCAAGGGAAAAAAAAAACACCTTTAGAATGAGCGCAACATCTTCGAGACGGTGGTGATGCTGATGCTGCTACTGCAGTGTCTCGGGTACCACGCCGGACTTGCAAAATACGGGGGGAGGGGTCGGCCAGGTTCCGCCTGCCGATAAAATTGGGAGAGTCTACTAGGTTTTAGGCCATCTAATTAGTACATTAGTCCATCTAATTAGTACATGAGTACATCTAATGGGCATATTCAGTGGGTTCACTGCAGCCCAAAGACTCAGTCCCCGAGAACGCGTGCGGTGAAGCTAGGAGTCATCCCCCACGCGTGCGTGTGCTCGCTATTTGTACGCCATGAAGACCACGAATCGGCGACTTCATCAACCGCCACCGCCATCCGCCGCCACCGCGGGGTAAACCGCCGCAGTTCGTCTACTGGCAGGGTCGCGTGCGCGGTGGGCGGGGAGGCCGCGGAGGGCTCAAGCGTGGGTATCAGTCCCCGCCAGCTCCAAATACATCCGGCCAGCGTGGAAGAGTAGGCCAAATAATCCTCCGGAGACGGTGGGGGGGCTTTCCAGAGTTATCTCTCGTGCCCCCTTCTGTCCCGCCCGAAGGCGCACGACGGAAGAAGTCGCAGAGGCGTGGGTTCAGAGACGGCGAGCGAAACTGGAACGTAATCAAATGTGCCCGGGTAATTGGCCAACGGACGTGGCTCCACGTGGAGGACTACACCCTTGCCCTAGGGATGCGGGATCGCCTGCCGGTAATCGCGTCTCTCAACTGGCATCAATGGAATCAATCCGAAGTTCGCCGACAGGCACGGCGCTTTCGGCAGCCGTGTAAAAGCACCGACGGCAAATAATAAAACACGGAAGTCCTCGACTTGCACACACCCTCGCTTACGAACCAGCTTCCACAAGGTACGCATATTTTTGTTACCTTGACTTTAAAAGCGAACTGTCCGCTTTGCAAATTGAACCGCGGCACGATTTTGTCCAGCCGAGCGATCCTGCGCGGGATTTAAATGGGACGTCCGCGTGCTGGGAGTGAGCGTTTGCGTGTGGGCATTTAAATGCAGTAGATTACCGTGTTCCGACTTACGAACCGTTCGACTTACAAACGGGTCCCTGCAACGAACTGTGTTCGTAAGACGAGTACTGCCCATATCGTTGCTCAGGTGAGCCATTGCCTAAAAAGTCTTATCAACCATGATCAATCCACTGCTGGATGAAGGCCTCCTCAGACCCACTGCTATAATCTCGCACGATTCTGCGAGGTAACAAAGCACACTTGCACCCACACACGGGCTCATGTTATCGCTCCGTCTCCCCGTAATGTTAGGCCTGCTGCATATTTTCCATTTGAAATCGGCATAGGGAATTATTTATGGACATTAAGACTGGAAAAGTAATCACCAGCCATCGCAGCTTTGCTGACGAAAATGATTATAACAGAGTGATTAAGGTGAACTATTAAATAAATGCGCTAAGGTGACGATTATTACGACTCTTAAGCACGTCTACGCAGAAAGGCCTCACTTGAGTCTCCAGATTACTTTTCAGGAGGGCACTGCCAAGCTTTCGCAGTAGCGGGGCTACGACGACTGACGCGTACATTTCAAACGAGCACTTTTGTGGATACACTTTAAAATGTAGCAAATTTGGACTGTGGTTGCCGGCAACCGTGGCGAGGGCCTCCATCCCACCCAGGGGTGGCTAGAAACCGTCTCGCGACGACGACGACGACGTTGCGGTCGATGGTTATGAAGTGGATGCTAACGACGACGACGGAGCGATGGCTCTGCGCGTTCGCCATTCGGTCGCGGAGAACGCACTTCCCTTTAATTACGGCGCCGCTAATTTCGAACGATGACCCCCGTTGGCTGCCGGAGCCGAGAGCTAAATTTAATCAGAGTTAATTGGCCGCTGGTTAAGTGGCACATGTACAAAGGGCCCCAATTTGTGCCAA